TCTCCTTCCCCTGCACTGCAGTGCCTCTCCGGTGACTCTGGGCATTTCCTTGTCCCTGGGATCTGTCCTCTCGTTCTCCACCTGCTACCCACGGGCCACCCAGATGGGAATGGACTGACTATTCTTGGGGGGGAAAGGGGTGTTGGAGATGCGGAAAGAGACTGGACAAAAATCGTGCACCTATGGATGATGACAGTGGGTGGGGAGTGAGGGTGGAGGGTGGGACGGGAACTCGGAGGAGGGGAGTTATGGGAGGAAAAAAGAGGAACAAATGTAATAATCTGAACAATAAGGATTTAATTTTGCCCTACCGGGTTTGGCTCAGTGGATAGAGCGTCGGCCTACGGACTGAGGGGTCTGGGTTCGATTCCCGTCAAGGACACATGCCCCAGCTGCGGGCTCGATCCCCAGTGTGGAGCATGCAGGAGGCAGTCAAACAATGATTCTTTCTCACCATCGATGTTCCTATCTCTCTCTCCCTCTCACTTCCTTTCTCAATTCAATAAAAATATATTTACAAAACCCAGCCTGACTGGCGTGGCCCAATAGTTGAGCATCAATCTATGAACCAGAAGGTCACGGTTCGATTCCCAGTCAGGGCATGCATATGCTTGGGTTGCAGGCCCAAACCCTGGTGTGGGGCATGCAGGAGGCAGCTGATAAATGGTATAATGTATATAAAAATATAGAGGGCTAGGGCCAATGAAAATATATTTAAAAACAAACAAAAACCCAGCCCTACCCAGTTGCTCAGTGGTTAGAGCGTCAGCCTGCGGTCTGAGGGGTACAGGTTTGATTTCGGCCAAGGGCAAGTGCCTTGGTTGCAGGCTCAATCCCGGGGCCGTACGGGAGGCAACCAATCGATATGAGTCTCACATCGATGTTTCTCTCTCTGTCTCTCCCGTCCCTCCCACTCTCTCTGAAAAATCAATGGAAAAGATATCCTTAGGTGAGGATCAACAAACAAACAAAAACCCATATTATAATATGCTACCTTTTCATAAAAAAAAAGGGAAATACTATAAGAATAGAGAGGTAGCCCTGCCCGCGTGGCTCAGGGGTTGAGCATGATAAAATATATTTAAAAACAAAAACAAAAAAAAAACACCCCACATTATAATATGCTACCTTTTGATGATAAAAAAAGGGAAATACTATAAGAACAGAGAGGTAGCCCTGCCCGCGTGGCTCAGGGGTTGAGCATGGACCTATGAACCAGGAGGTCACGGTTCGATTCCCCGTCAGGGCACATGCCCGGGTTGCGGGCTTGATCCCCAATGTGGGGCATGCAGGAGGCGGCCGATCAATGATTCTCTCTAGTCACTGATGTTTCTGTCTCATTCTCCTTCTTTCTTCCTCTCTGAAATCAATAAAGTTTAAAAAAAAAAAAAAGAACAGAGAGCTAAATGTGTGTGTATATATAATTTTTTTCTTTTTTTGCAGAAAGGAACACTGGAAAGATCAATCAGATGGAATAAAAATTGGTACTCAGGTGTGGAGGGGGATTGCATAGAAGGAGCGGAGGTAGGAGCAAGATTGCTTTCTGTGTGTTTTTCTGTCGTTTTGACCTTTGAATCATTTTGGATGGAGGGTTGCATGAGAGCGAAAGGAGGACTGCGGACCTAACATAACAGAATCACTTACCTCCGTCAGCCTCAGGGGGTGGGGGGCGGCTGCAGGAGTCTCCTTCCTGTAAAGCAGTGGTTCTCAGCCTGGGCTGCACATTCGAATCACCTGGGAATCTTTTTAATATCCTGATTTCTGGGCCTCCTCCTCCGGAAATTCTGTTTCTTTGTGATGGGGTGGGGCCACAACATGAGTAACAAAGACACAGAATTTCCGGAGGAGGAGGCCCAGAAATCAGGATTTTAAAGATTCCCAGGTGATTCTTTCCAGAGGATGAGGCCCAGAAATCAGGATTTTAAAAAGATTCCCAGGTGATTCGAATGTGCAGCCCAGGCTGAGAACCACTGCTGTAAAAGGAATGAACTAGGCTCAGGTCAGAGACCCACGGTCAGGGGGTTGCTTCCCAGGAGAGCATCTTCCTAAAATACTATCCAGAAAGTATTTCTTCTCCCTAAAACGGAGAAGGTCAGGAAGGCCAGTCCCGCCTCAACTCTGTGAGCAGAAACTCAGCAAACACAGTCATGTGGCCGACACTGGGAGACAGGATAGCCCAGCCGTGGGCAAACGACGGCCCGCGGGCCGGATCCGGCCCGTTTGAAATGAATAAAACAAAACAAAACAAAAAAAAAGACCGTACCCTTTTATGTAATGATGTTTCCTTTGAATTTATATTAGTTCACACAAACACTCCATCCATGCTTTTGTTCCGGCCCTCCGGTCCAGTTTAAGAACCCATTGTGGCCCTCGAGTCAAAAAGTTGGCCCACCCCTGGGCTAGCCACTGGTCCCCATGGAGCCAGACTGCCAGGCCCCTTAGGAAGCACTGCCCACCAGGGTGTCTGCCATGGGTGCTGGAGCCTCCAGCCCCAAGCAGGCAGCAGGGGGCGAGGCAGCAGCTGCCAGCAAAGCCCTGCCCGCCTCCATCACCCTGGTTCGCGCGCCCCAGCCGGCGGCCCACATCTTCTGCAAGTCATGAGGTGAACAAGTTGGGGAACACGGCTGCGGAGGGCTGTGCTGACCTCTGACCTTAGACGCAAGAGGTCAGAGGAGCGGGCAGCTGACAAAATAGGGACCAGGCACCGCGCGGGCCGCACCAAAGGCTGCCCTGAGCCCAGGAGGCTGGCGGGGCTATCGAGGAAAAATAATAACCTAAGAGCACCAAGCCAGCGTGGCAGCGAGGGCAGAGATTTAATCCATGAAAGCCTGGGTTTAGGCCAACGAGGCAGAGCTGGAAAGGGCCTCTGCCTTAGACGGAAGTGGGGAGAGGTGACTTGCTCACAGCGGCCATTGCCACAGGCCAGGCGCTGTGGGAGCCTTTGCAGGTGTCGCCGGGTGAGCTGTACCCCATGTGGCAGATGAGGAAACTGAGGCCCCAGGGGGTTACGTAGTTTACACAGGGAGCATTCAGGCGGCTTTCAGAGCTGGGATTGGCCCCGGGGCTGGGCTGGGAACCCACACACTGGACCACCGCCCCCGGGGTTTGTGGCCTGGACCACAAATTATAGAAATATCAACCAGGTCGACTGGGAAGTTGCAGGTGACCAGCCTTTTCCAAGAAAAGCGTCAAATGTTCATCAGAGCAGAGCCACCCACATCACATTTTCCTAAGGAAACAGCGGTGGCTGATTCAGCCGTCGTTCCCTCCCTCTTCTGGAGGCAGAAAGCTTTCTTTCCATTCTCACTCCCCAGGTTCAGATCTTACCAATTCCCAACAAGCTCTCCAGGCCTCAGTTTCTTCATCTGCAAAATGGGGGTAACAGTAGCGCCTGCCTCAATGTTGTGAGGCCGTTCGCGTAAAGTACTCAGCATCACGCCTGAGATGGAATGAGTGCGCGCTGTGCGGGTTTAACTGTTAACCCAAAGCTTCCCCGATGGCCAGGTTTCCTACTATCGCTGCCACGTGGGTGTGGTAGAGGGAGAAGCTCATGCGTGCCCAAGCAGCTGGGCAGGAGAACCTCAGGGCTGGCCGGCCAACTCGCAGCCTGTGGAGGCGCCAGCTTCCCAGGGCAATGGGTGGCACCCCATCCTTCCCAGGCCTGCTCAGGAGCCCACAAGCCCATTTCCCGGATTATGAAAGTCACTGTTTCTCCAAGCCGGCCCCCCACCCAGCATGGAGCACGGGAGGGTCACTAGCAGGGCCTCCTGCGGAGGGCTGTACCCCTATATGTCTCCTCCCCACAGCAGTCACACAGGGGCCTTTAAAACGGTAAATTAGTGCCCGGCTGGTGTGGCTCAGTGGTTGAGCATCACCCTAAGAACCAGGAGGTCATGGTTCGATTCCCGGTCAGGGCACATGCCCTGGTTGCGGTCTCGATCCTCAGTGGGGAGTGTGCAGGAGGCAGCCGATCCATGATTCTCTCTCATCATTGTTGTTTCTATCTCTCTCTCCCTCTCCCTTCCTCTCTGAAATCAGTAAAATATATTTTAAAAATATTTTTTCTTTAAAAAAAAGATAAATTAGTGAAATTCTCCAAAAACTGTCCACTGCCCTGAGAATTTCATTCAACATCCTGACCGGGCTGCCACCTGCTCCAGGATCTCATCCTTGCCTACCCCTCTCATCCCATCTCTCCCCATCCTTGCCCTCGCCCACACGCTTGGAGAAGTGTCTGCTCTCCAAGTGCCCAAGTGCATGCGCTCATCTCCCAGGCCTGTGTCCTCTCGTCCCAGGCCCGTGTCCTCTCGTCCCAGGCCCGTGTCCTCACGTCCCAGGCCCGTGTCCTCTCGTCCCAGGCCCGTGTCCTCACATCCCAGACCCGTGTCCTCGTCCCAGGCCCGTGTCCTCACATCCCAGGCCCGTGTCCTCTCATCCCAGACCCGTGTCCTCTCGTCCCACCCCCCTGCCCT